CTCGATTCCTTCCTATTATTTTCTCCGCGACAATATCCAAAGTTATTTTTCCCCACTTTCAAAGTTATTTTACATAATTATATGATTCATGAACAGTTGCACTCTTCCCATTGTAAGATAATTCTTATATACAATAACATTTTCTTACAACTATTTTCTTCTTTTAAAGTTTCAACATGATAGTTATATACTACGTTGCATTGAAAAGATAGTTTCAAGACTTTAGGCCTCAATATTATCTCATGTAAATGTTTTTTTGTTTCGTTAAATACTAATATGCAAGCTACAATTAAAAAAAAAAAACAGAGAGTTGTTTTAATTTTGGCAATAGTAAATTATGCTTGGGCCTAGCTTAGAGAGGTAAAAAGAGTGAAAGAGCCAAATTATGGGCTTTAAATAGAGATATATAGAATTGTATGTTAGCTAGGCACATGTTAAATTAACTAGATTTGGCAAAAAAGTAAAAGTTAACGTGAATAGTACATGTCTCCATTACCATCTTTAAAGTCACTAGGTGTTAATTTTATTGCAAGTTACAAGCTTCAATGTACCAACTTTTCAACTTGAATTATAGAAAGTGTTGCTTATGTATATATATGAACCAAACAATTAGGTATTCAAGTAGGTTTATGGAAAGAATTGATGAATACTTAAGACGCAATCGGTAATCACCACCGTGTTTTAGTTACATAACATCATTTTAGTTCAACCGGGATTTGGAATTTAACGATTTGTAAGTTACTCCCAAAATGACTTTGTTAGTCCAAATGCGACCGTGACAAATGTCTTTCTTTCCAAAATATGATCCCAAAGGCCAGATTCTTGTATCGCTACTTCAATTTCACCACTCCTGACTTAGACTACTTTTGGTAATCATAAGTTTCTTATGATGACTCCATAATCGGATACCCTAAATTCCTAAAAATAAATTCAATTATAATTTTCCTTTATTTTCTAACGATCATATATATAAGCATGATAGAAAGGCTGCACACATCATAATCTAATAATATTCAAAACAAAAGGGAAAAGGACACTTCCTAATCCACATGCCTAGCCGTCACTCTACAAATTAATTTTCACTCAAAAAAATACAAAAATAATAATACAATAATATACGCAAATACATCCCCTATATATTAGGTGAGCAACCATACAATGAACACTCTTTTATGTATTACAAATGAAGAATTGTATAGTTAAATAAAGATATTAAACTACTAGTATAACAGCATCCTTCAATTAATTAGCTCTTAACGTCTGACAAACATCCACAAACAACTACAATCGTAGCTTCGGTATTGAACTCACCAGGGCAATAACAATCAACACAATCTTATATATATCTCATCATAAATGTTAGATAAAAAAAAATTAAAAATAACGGATATGTAATTCACCAATGTCACTAAAAATCAATTCTTGTGTTTATAATAAAGATACCATTATAAGATTTTATTTTTCCTGTTTTATTATATAGAAAAACTAGGATAGTACCTGCACTATGCGCGAGTAAATGATTATGTTAAATTAGTATAGTTTTAGTTAAAAATCAATCTTAGTGAATGCATGAATGATTATTCGAATTTGATAGTTTTAGTTAAAAAAAATTAATGTGAAAATTACTATACAAAATCCGGGATTCGTTTGTCTATATTCGAATTTGCGATTATTATTTAAGAATGTATTTCACCAAATGATAGACGGAATATTTGAATTGAACCATCAAATCAAAATTCATCAATCCAAATTCGAAATGAGTTATATATTGTATGAATTGGTATAACAATTTATATACTAAATTAGCCTAATCAAATTCAAATTATACAAAATCAAACTAACCTAAATTGTTAGATTTGTTGTTGAGATCTATTATAAATTTTAAGTTGCTCACACATATTTTTAAAAGCAAAAAAGCAAAAAATG